CCATGGTAACAAGCTTTTGAGTGACCACTGGGATTGCGGTTCTGAATTCAACAAACAACGACTGGTCTTAGATCACCCGCCAGACTGGGAGGTTTTCAAAACATTTTGAAGCAGGAAGATCGGATGAGCAGAAGCGGAGATTACCGCGGTCTAACATGAGAGCCCAAAGACCTGCTAGAGATGTTTAGTATTCATATAACAAGCTGAGCACGGATGAATATTGGCTTACGACTGGGTAAATGAATAAGTTTAAAATTCATAGGTTGCAGTGTATTCGAGGAAGCAATAGCAGTTAGTATTTTGTTTGAAGCAGTTTCGTGCACAGCGGCTAATAGTCTCCTCAGAAGCTTGCAAATGAGCTGAAGACGAGCTTGATCATTTGTTTGGTCCGATTTTGGACCATGAGAAACGCAGAGGCGAAGCCAAAGCTGTTTCTTGTTTGAGTACAGTATAATTGTGACCGTGGTAACAGACCAGCCCATGTTAGACCTATGGCATCCATGGTAACAAGCTTTTGAGTGACCACTAGGATTGCGGTTCTGAATTCAACAAACAACGACTGGTCTTAGATCACCCGCCAGACTGGGAGGTTTTCAAAACATTTTGAAGCAGGAAGATCGGATGAGCAGAAGCGGAGATTACCGCGGTCTAACATGAGAGGCCAAAGACCCGCTAGAGATGTTTAGTATTCATATAATAATTATTGTATTAAACCAAATCTGCACGAAGAGTACGAGTAGTGCATTTAGTAGAGTCGGTACGTACTTAATAACGTTTAATGCGGAATGGAATCCGCAAGCGAAATGTATAGTAAGTACTGTGCAACCCTGAAAACAATTCTAACAGAGTCCTCTTTTGGAAGATTGTTGGTGGCTGCTGCGTTGCTAGGCATCCCATACGGCAAACACGGGATACGCCACGCGGCGCTTGTTGAATTGCCTTCTCGAAAAACAGTCGTCCAGACTTAGTTCCCTCTTACGGTCTTACCTAATGCTTGATGTTAGCATTCTCGAGTTACTTGCAGTGGTAATAATTCCTCGCGGCTCAGGTACAGGGCTTCTACCAAATTTCTACCGTTCCCGTAATACATCATTATACATGTTTATTCGTCTGAGACCCATGCATTTTCCTCCAACATGTCGCGACATATGCCACGAGCGTCGCCCAGGATTCGTCGCGTTAATCACGTGAGTATCTTGTTTTCTGGGTAATTAAATATGAGAGGAAGCCGGTCACTTCACGATTAAACCGCGGTGACCAGCCAATACGTCTGGACGAAAATTTTCTAGCGGAGGTTATGGTGGTTGCGCCGCCCAATACGTCCCGTAAATTTACCGCCGCCCCAGTTTTTCTGTCTATGCAGCCATTATGTTCTGAATCATTGAATGTGTTTTAAGCCGGACATCTATGTTCATCATCAATATTTTATAAATTTTCAACTTTCATACATTTGCCAAATTTTTTAAATTCCTTAATGCATATTAATAACCGCATAATTTTCCCAAGTGCCAGAAATTTTGTGTTTAACTTTTTAAACTGCAAAAAGTTTCCAGAACTAGTTAACTTCAGTTAACAAAGATAGTGGGGTGGAGTATGACTGCCTCGTCGAAAATACTAGGAGGGCAAAATTTACGGGGGACGTTGTTATTGGCTCGGGGGCGTTTTTGGCCGGTTTACCAAGTACCAGCCAAAAAAACGTCCACCGACCGTTTAATTCGCTGCGAATTTTTAATCGCATATAAGAGCCCTAATTAAATGACGCTCCCGTGAACGTATTGGGTTATTTGCTTTTGCTATACTTTCTCTCGCTTACTGCTTCTCCGGTTTGGAGAAACACTAAGCGAGAGGAAACCTCCAACATAAGGGAAGGAAAACAATCCAGCTGCGGGTTTAGAGCAGAGATCGCTCGTACAATTTCGGCACCCGAGCCTACTGTTGGCTAGCCTGTCGGTCCACCTCGTCTCACCGCGTTGCTGGGTCTTGCCGCCATCTCCAGGGCGGTCCTGTTTCGTTTCGCCGGATTCTGTAACGCCGGATCTGCGACTGGGCGCGCGGCTGTTGCAGCTTCCACTATGTACCGCGAACCCATTAAATTTTATCATTTAGCCTTCTATTCAATAAACGGTAAACCAGTTATTCCAAATCTATTATTTAAATGTGTTTTGCTGCAGCAGATTATTAACTTATTAATTATTAATTTATTTTTCTAGTAAATTTTAATTGTTTACGGCTTCGGATTATCCATTCGTTCACACCCTTCACGATTATGGTCAGCTACGAGGAAGCGTCATTTTAAAATAATAATTTCAGCTACCGTGTGCTCGGATTTGCTGGCGCACATGCCGTGTTAAACGACAGCCATTCCAGTGCAACTGACCTTTTTAAAAATTAATATAATATGTAAGATTAATTTGCAGTTTATGGCATCAGAAAGGTCTTAACAGTTCTGGCCTGCCCTTCTATCGAAAAATTCACGCATCCGATTTTTTAAATCATTAAAATCTGTCAGTCACGTGCTAGCAAACGTTTTTCGGCATAATGACCTTTTCAAAAAATTTTTTTCCTTAAGAATTCCGCTGGTAAAATTTATTTTTTCAAATTGTAATCGTAATCCTGTTGTCAACTGTTCTTCTCGATTGTGCGCAGTTCGGTATTACCGCGTTCCGCTGCAATAAACCGAAGGGAATGATTAGCAGCGACCTCACCAAGCGGTAAACGTTTACCGCATCATTTGCCCTCATTTGCGCTTTGGGTAAGGCGGGATAGCATTACCCAAAGCGATTACATTTGAGTTTGTTAATTTGTTAACTGCTGGTTTGATTTTTGAAGGCAGAAGGCGTTCAATACGAATGACGTTTTTACACATCGCTTCTGTACAGGTTCCGTTGGTAAAATTTCTCCGAAGACTGTTCTTCAACTTCTTTAGAGGATTTAATAATTTTTTGCCTACAGAATGCGTTCGTCCCTGACATCTGCTTAAAGCACTTTCTCTTTATACTGCCTACGGTTTCTCAGTAGCGAAACGAACCAGTTATACGGTCATCCTCTCTTGTATGCGATGGAGCTTCGGTATTTCCGCGTTGCGTTGCGTTCTAACGATGAGTGACGGTTGACATTTCGGATTCGCTTAAAACTTTGCTTCCCTTTAGAGACTGTTAATTAACTTCATTATCAGCTTAATTTCTGGATGGCGCTGCTCATGCGGTTTAAAAAAGGCGTTTTTCCCAGGTTTTCAAGCCATGCACGATTATTTCAATGAGAACGTTGAAAGTGTGTGTGCATGGCATTTGAATACGGCATCGGCCCTGTTAAGTCCTTTCCTTACAGTGTATGCAGTTTATAAAATGACTCAAACTGACCGAAAAATTCTTCCCGTTTTTCTGTAGGAAAATCCCGCATCGCAGCTGGATGTATTCGCCAGTCATAATTACGCCGCGGCGTGATTTTCTTTTTTAAATATCTCTTCAGGCTTATAACTCCAGTTCAGTAGTTGAAAGTTGTCATTTCGGAGCGATTCGGTTGAGCGCGTTTCGGTATCACATCATTTCCGCTGCGTTAGGACAATGACGTCCATGACAAGCGGCCAACTATTCGGATCCCGTTGACCGCATCGTTCGCACTATCTGCCTCCGATAGCTGTTCTTCAACTTCTTTATCAGTTTTTTTTAATACACAGCTAATTCGGTTTCCCCCGATTTTGATGCTATGCACGATTGTGCTGATTGCGACTTCGGCAGTCGGTAAGACTAAATGAAGGTTCGGTCATGTGAAGTCCACATGTCCGTTACATTTTTTGTAGTGCTTAGCCAGTCTTCAAAACTAATATTCGAGTCAAACCTGGAAAGTTCTCAATATTAACGTCTCTGTTCAGAATCTCGCGCATTCCAGCTGTACGCATCGAGTGTTTTTTCCGAAGAACTGAAAGTATAGGCGGCTGAAGTTCTGATTATGCTCTGTCACCGTTTATTTCGTCGCCTAAATATTAACATTTTTTTAACTAAAACTAACGGGACCTTTCCACAGCCAGTTTGTCCCAATGAAGAAGCGCTCCGTAGTTTCTGTGGTATATAACGACCCGCATTTTGATATTCCTCAGTATCAGGTATTTGATGCTTATAACGACCGTAAATAGGAGATACAGGATAGGTAAGGTCGACGTTGGTGTAATAAACCCTACATGTTGGCTGATTTTAGTAGCGAATCGTATGATAAATACTTGTGTACTGTGGCAGCTACTCCGTATTTCAGTATCACCAGAACGTTGGCGAACGCAACGTTCGGTGCTTACTGGTTACGGAGTGCCTGTTCGTTCTGCAGACGATCAGCACAATGTGATGCAGCAGGTACTGTGTTTACTATGTGCCAGATCCATACAAGAATTTAATTTCGGAAGAATGATGAGAAAATGATTTCAGTTACAGTATCAAAACAGCTTAAATCTCGGTCATTATGAAATGAGAAATAACGGCTCGGCTTTTGCTGTAATCTACAGATTGGTGATGGTACTCGTACTGAAATACAAAAACGTAAAAGTCCATTAGCGCGGGTTTGAGTTGACAGTGACAGTCTGTACTCTGTAACATTTGATCGGGACATACCTATTCTGATGTACTGGTGGCCATGGTAACATACTTCTGCATGCGGAATCCGTAGTAGAAACTGCGTAAAAAAATCTGGCTGGCTCTGTAGTAAGTATCTGTACTCGTAAAATAATCTGCTTCTCGTAGCGCTTTATACGTAAGGTGAACATCACGGAACTACGGATAACTACGTTTTACGTACAAAATACTATCATTACGGTAGTTACGTACTTCCGTATTTGCAAAATAAGCCAAACTATTAGAGTACTTTCAGTCTTGCTTGTACTTGACAAAATTCTCAAATCAGTAAGTACTTGATAACGGATGCATCCAACAGTGCCATTGCAATAATATGTAGGTGCGATTGTCATCACATCTGCTGAAACATCTACCGGCAAAATTTATTCTCGTCGCCAAGCACAATCGTGACATTTTTTAACACAATCGTAACATTAAAATCGATCAGATTTTACAGCGACTGTGAACTATAAACGCCGTAGTTTATTGGTACCCACATATTTTTACTTGTACGTGGAATATGATTGTTAGATCTCATCTGGGAGATTGTTCAAAATAATTCTTTTATTGCGCTTCATTGCGGGGCATCACATACGAGAAAGCGACAGCATCACAGAAACACAATGCGAAATGACCTTTAAAGCTTCTCCCCACTACTCCTCTTCCCGTCGTCTGGACACCCGATTGGACAGTTTCGGCGGGGTCGCCGCCGCGCCGGACCGGGACGCCGTGATCGGCCGCGCCGCGACCCGTCCTTTCACCGGGGTCCCCGCGTACACGTAACCGCCCAGCACCGGGATCTTCCCCAGGATCATCCACACCGCGTTCATCACCGCCTGGTACACGACATGCACCAGCCCGGCCACCTTGTATACCGGTCCGACCAGGGCGTTGCGGATGCCCCCGGTGGCAGACGGAGCAGTTGGGTGGTCCCCGCGGTGCGGGCTCTTGGGGGGCGGGGCGCCCTTCTTCATTCCCGCCACTGGAACAGCGTGGGCGGTCCGGAGGGCGGCTAGTTCGGAGCGGAGCGCCGTCCAGAAGGGCGTGGGGTGGGTGTCCCCGGGATGGATGACGGGGGTGGCCGGGGCGTCGTACAGGAAGTAGAGGGCGGTGGCCACGGTGATGCCGGCCAGGTAGCAGGGAAAGTGGGTGGGGTCCGTGAAGAAGGGGCCTTGTTGCATGGCCGCCACGGTGACGGAGACGGGGGCCAGGGCCAGGAGCGGGATGAGGAGGAAGATGGCGGAGGCGGCCGGGGAGTGGGTCGTCTGGTACATGGTGCCCAGTCTACAAAAATTTATGTACTCAGATTTATCTGTTACGAGTAATTTACCGCGCATTTTTGACACCGAATCGAAATTGCAGTTTAAGGCAGAGTATTCGCGTTAAAAATGATATTTAATTATTGCCGATAAAATTAACGGCTTGCTCGTGCACATTGTTAACATTTTTTTTATCTGTTTTGATTTAATGTATATTATTTTTATTTCTATCATTTTTTATTAACACTGATTTTTCTCTTTGGGTTTTGCGTACTGTTGTTTAATTGAATAACTTAACATATTCTAAATGTTTGTAGTTTATAAAAATATGCAGTAATTTACTATCTGAATCCTGTTTTGATATACAAACAAAAATTTTCGCAAAACGAACGAAAAGTACAGCGCCGTGGAAATAAATGTCTGCACAGTGCACAGACACCAAACACCACTGAAAACAACCATATAAAATGGTACAAGGTAGCAGTATTTAACGAAAATCATGTATTTGACAGATAAAAATAATTCTAAAATAGTCCATGCAGAATTGTATTTCGATGCATTGCTGGTGCAAAAATGCCATCTTACCCAGCGGCCACCGCGACGACCAACAGGCCGAGATCGACGGGGGCGCCAAAGTCAAAGAACATGTGACTGTTGGAATGCCAGATGGACAGTAGAATGATGCTGGTGAATATCCACTTGGCTTGCTGAAAGGTCAACAACGCCGGCTTGGCCTGCAGAAAATCATAGTGGCGATATTCAACTTCCGTCCTTTCGTAAATAAAATTCATGCTAATCTGGCTATGCACAGAAGTTTGTGGTTGATCTAGAGCTAAAAGTCGCAGACCAAGCTTATTAAATAACTCAATAAAAAACAGTTCAATTTCCGTTAAATTATAGTGCTTCACCGTTTAGCGCTATAGGTTACCAGTCTGATTTTATAAACTTAATTAAGGATTAACGTCAATGTTTTATTACGCTTCCAGAGCAAAGCTGATGGACATCAATTAAGAATAACACATTTTATTATAGTACGATTATTGGGTTGCCAAATCGAAAAGGAAATTAGCTTTTTTTCCTAAAAGTAATGCTGTACACGTTTAAAGTTTTAAACGTTGTTTGAAATAAGTACAATGAAAATAAAATTATTCATAATTATTATAAACTATTTCACATATAAATACATTATACATGTAATTACATACTATTACAAATTACTATAAATTATTTATAAGCAGAATAAGGCTCTATTTTGAGAGAAATCTTTTTTTGCCCAGCTGTTTTATAAAGATTTCTAATTGAGCGAATTACCTGGGTTCTCTTGGTTTAAATTTAATAATATTAAGTTTTTAATTAGTCAACTTAATTTTCTTAACCAGGTTGTTTGCATACCCCTTTTCCCGGTGGCTGCGTGTGCGTGACAATAAACGGTTCGACGAACCGATCCAGTATCTCGCGGGAGACCAGCGTGATCAGAAGGAAGATAACCGCCCCGTCCAGCCCGGAGTTCATCAGCTTCTGCTGCTGGTCCGCGGGGAGGTTCTCGAAGCGTTTGGACTGCGAGTCCGTGTAGGCCTTCCAGGTGTCGCGGGCCAGACTGGCGTAGTCCGACAGCAGCGCTGGTCCCTTCACCCACACATCCTCCACATACCCGAACGTCGTCTGCAGGAAGCCCGGCAGGGCGGTGTCGCCCCCAGCGTCGCCCATTGCGACAGTAAGACCAGTATAAAATGTGGATAACTAGGAGGTTTCAATGCTGATCGGGCGAGTCGAAAGTAGCGCAGGAGAGGGTTGATAAAGCAGGAGCGGGTTTCTTCTTACCCATTGTGAGTGAGGTATGTTAAACGATATCGCGAACTTCCTGTGTACACTGTACGCACTACATTATGCTGGAATACTGCTGGTATCCTTGAGAAGGTCACGGTGCGCAAAATGCACACTATTACCGTACCAGTGATAGATCTGTAGCAACAAGACCTTCTAATACTGCAGTAGACATTCGCTGTAGAAATCAAATAATTATTGTCAGGTACCAATGTACTGTACTAAACTGATAAGTTATAGAGTAGGTAAGAAAAAGATATTATTTCACTTCGAAAGTTTCACTTGAGTGTGCGCCATGAAAAAGAATGAATAATTAACCAGCAATTAATAGGAGTGAATAATTAACCAGCAATTAAGACAGCATGTTTAAGGAAACGTCGAGCTGATTCAATAATAAGCATACGTCTTTTTTTATTACCAGTTCTGATAATTTCACCATGCGCTGATCAGAACACTACTGGATAATGCTTGACGATAGCACAAACCAGTGAAAAGGCGTTGTGAGTGTGGTTTTACTGGATTATACGAAATACTGCGTTGCTTCACTGGATTCTACGAAATACATAGTAATTATAGTGTAGTATAATTGTACAGAAATCGATTGTTGTTTGACAAAAAAATACATTTTAACAAGTATTATCCATGTCACGATTGCAAAAAACTTGCACAAAATACGTGACAACTAGAAACATCGGATGCCAGGTACACAAGATCACTCTACACACACAGAATTTCGTTAGATTCAAGTAGAAAACAAGAAAACTCAGATTGCTGTTTCCCATAAAATGTCTGCAGGTTATACTTTTGTAAAATACTAAATCGTGCGAGGTCGCCATGTTCAATTTCGAATTTGCATAAGAAAGTGCAATGAAAGACGCGACAAGTTCCCCAACTGTACACCTTTCAATCCGTCCACGCACCACTTCTTGCCGCGGTAATGCGACGGCGGACGCGGATCCGCCGATTGTGTGGCACACAATATCTGCAAAAAAAGCGTAAATCGGTTATATTAATTTGATTAAATGTACCTATAAATGCATAACGTAACGTAATTACGTATGTATGTATATAATATATGATTGTATAAGCAACGTATGTACAGTTATATAAGTAATAATGTACGTTTGTATGTAGGCATCATGTATGTGCGTATGTATAACGTAATGCATCAAGCAACGTAATGTAATGCGTTCTAAATGCTTAAATTAACGTAATACATATGTATGTATTATCCCTAGTATGTATACAAGTACAAAATAACGTTATGTATGAATGTGATAATGTACATATGTATGTATGTACGTAATGCATTAATGTCAAAATGTAGCTATCAATGCAGCTACCGGTATGCTTAATGCTCGTTGCTCAAACAAATGCTTTTCCCTGATAACTCCTACCTTGCAGACGAAGATGGCCTCCCTATGCCGCGCAGCCCGCGGTCTGACTAGCCGTGTTAAACGCTGCGAGAGCTGCTTACGGTTCGTCCCTCTCAGCGCAGGCAGCGCCGCCTCTAACGCGGTCCACAGTTCACACCCGAAACCGCTATCGTGTTTCATACACACCGTCGGGATCTTCACCGACAACTTTGGTGCCCTGGCTGGCTCACCGATCAAGCACACCAGCTGGGCAGTACAGTCCGCCATACGGATGGCGTCACACGGCAAACTACCGCACAATTCCACAAAATCCTGCAGACGACCATAGCAGCGGTCCTTCTTCTTTACTATCGCCTGGTCTTTATCCACATCTATCCGATGTAGCCCACAGTGATCCTCTATCACGGGATCGGGAGCGCCGTTGATCAAGAGACGCCAAGTAAATCCGGTGATGCTCACCGTCCGCAATGGAGCTCCGGTGTGCCGCAGCATGCCGAGCACTGCGAACATATCTTCCATGTCGAGAACTCCCTTGTGGTCGGCCACGAGAAGGTACTGAGTGTTGACGCACAGGCATTTGTAGAAAACCGATGCGATAAGGGAACGCCAGTACGTGTCGCGTGTACGGCTAGTAATCACCAGCGTTGAGGTTAGCGTCGGTGAGGTGATGATACGGTTCCATGTCGCCGAGACGATGCGCAGTTTATGTTGCGTCACAGTGTCCAAATGGGACAGCACGGTCATCCATATTTCCACCGGCAACATACTGCTGTCGGCCATTTCCACCGGTTTATTCGGTAATGGTAAGCCGCAGAGCAGGTAAAACCGAATATCAGCCAAGACCTTCTACAGACCACACAACACCAGATAATCGACAGTGTTTTCAGCGAAGCCAGCTGAACACCCGTCCGCCATGGCAGACCGACAATTTGCTGACCGATAAAATGTTTGCCCGATAATTTATTGCAACGACAATTCGATGATCCCTAACTCGCTGAACGACAGTTTTCTGAGCCCCGATATCTTGCTGACGACAATATGTTAACTTAAGAAAACATAATAAAACATAAGACAGGCATAAGAATAATGAAAACATAAAAGAAATGTTATAAGAAAGAATTAGAAACAGTCAATACCAAAGCAGAGCAAAAGAAAAAACGAGAAAAAAAGATAAACTAAGAAAACACCCAAAAACCTATGTACCTTTGAAACTACATATGCCGATGCGTAATTTGTTGATTAAGAAATAATTTCGCAAAACGTCAGGCAGCAAAATAGTCGAAAAGCGATTTGTCGGTCAGCAAGTTGTGTGAATCAGTAATATGTCGGTCAGGAAATTGTTCGCCAATTTCAATTTTTAAAGCAAAGATTACTTGGGTGTTTCTTACCTGGAATCTTTGGTCGTTTTCATCGCAGCTTCTCCACTGCTTAAGACTGCACAGTATACGTAACTGGCCGCCCACATTGTCCACCGTAGAGACTCTGGTCTCCAGCCGACCGTAGTACAAATTCCACTCCCGGATCAGCGCGTCGACCTCTTCCGAGGAAATGAAACTTAATTCCTTATCCAGCGGCAAGCTGCACCGGACAAACGTCCCTGGTTGGACGCATCCCCCCTGGCTACGTTCGGCGGACTTCTTCGGCAAGCGAAGTCGCTCAATGGGGACGATATCGGTGCACGGAACTTCACTGTCTGGATTTCTCCACTGTACAATGACTGCCCCGCAGTACAGATTCCTCTGACCGTCGCCCACTTTGATCAGTTCAGCGTCCAGCCAAATCCACGGACCCGATGGGGTCTCCGGTACCAGCACTTGCACGGGAACTTTCTCACTCTGCTTCTGCATCTTGACCAGTTCGCATTCGCTGATCGGACAGTAATAAAAGACGATACCGAATGGGAACAATTCGGGGTGACGATGGGGACAGAGAAGGTCGACGAAGAGTCCGGTGTCGGCCACGTCCACGACGCGGCCGAAACGCAAGTATTCATCGTCGCACAGAACATTCACGCAATTAAAGCGGACCATTTCTCTGGGGACCTCGACAACGGGCTCGGTGTAGAAAAAAAAGATCTGGCTTGCCGATCGTCGCAACACGACCTCTACATTCAAGGGAAAGGGAGTGAAAATCCCGGGCAAGACTACGGTAAACTGTGAAATACAGTAAATTCCTAACCGACTGAAACTAAAAATCAACACGGAATGGTGATGTTCTGCCCACGTCTTATAATTGATTAAGCATCACATCGCCAGGATTCTGCTCATGACACTGTATCGGAATCCGCATTTGCGGCGCTGTTCATCCGGGTAGCCGCGCAATCCATACAAGGTCAAGATTATGCGGATGGCAGTTGAATTCTAGGTAGCCATTGCTCTTCCAATAGTAATGGAACATCGCTGTTGTCTGGTGACTTAATTGGCTGATGTCTCATCGTTAGGGCATGTTTTATGTTCTTCAAAAAGATTTTCACAATCGACCGTTGACGCAGAAATTGGCGGAGACGTCGGCATAATTCAGTACTATTAAATATTGTTGATGGGTTGCCCTTTTGCTGTGGAAGCCCTTCGAGCGCTCGGCGAAGCAGACAGAGAAATGGTCACCTTTTTTGGACATAAAATTGAGGAGAGATCCGGCGAAAGCAGAATAACTGGGAGATCCACGTATTAGCCTTGTCTTTGTAAAAGGCAATGCGGTTGTTTTTAGGAACTTAACCGGGCAAGAATAAAGTTGTTTGAATATAGTGATTTTGGTTGTTTTTTTAAATTCTTGATTATGCAGTGCCGGCGGTAGTGATATAAGTCATGACCGTTATGTCGCGATGTAAACACGAATAAAGGTACATGTACCTGACTTGTCCGCTCTGGCGAACCGCATTCTGCCGGTCATGCAACCCTTACTTCTTGTGAACGATGTTCAGTTTAGCTGGCTTCGTCATGGATGACCGCCGAAATCAGTTAAAGTCTGAGAAGCTGGATGACCTCATGTTTCTTAAAAGTCTTGAACAACTGTTTTTTTATGCTGGAAAACGTTGGTTGTGCCATTTACTCAATAAGCCCGAATTCTTTTGTTATTGTTAAGGAGAAAATCCTTTTGACGCGGTATATTAATGGCGGCGATGTAACTTAATCGATAACTTTGTCGTCATTAACCTTTTTTAAGTTAAGGAACTATGCGCTGAATGTCGAGTCTGAATTTTTCGTTTTTGTTAAAAAATTGTTATTTTGGACAATTATCCGGTTATACTGTACTAGGATATCCGAGTGTCGGATAAGGATAGGATAAGTACAAGTATAAAGAAATAAAAAAATTCGGATAAACGGTCGGATAAGGATAATTTTAAAAAGTGTAGGATAGTGTGAGGAGAGCAGCGGCTCACGTACAGCGACAAAATCTTTCGAATGATTTCAACGTATTGCGGCGTGGTACTGCCTACGCGGATCTAACGACGTAGCCGGGGTTCGATTCCCCCACCGGCGCCTTTTTCAGTCGTTTCTCGGTTTCCAGTGGATAGCGCCCTGCTTATTATAGGATAAGGATAATGAAACCTTATCCGATGCCCAGCTCTAATGCACAGATTAGACAGTCTTACCATTCATTTATTTTTTGCTACATATCAATTAAGCGTGCTACGAATACAGTGTATACGCCCAGTCTTACCCCTACTCTTAAATACAAAGAACATTGATTGCTTTAAACCTGTACATTGCCGTCGCATATAAAGCAAACAAGTATCAACAGGAAAAATCATCAAGTTTTGAAGGAATAATAGGATTAACGCCAATCAAACCTCGCACATTTTTGTTACATCATTATTAGTTAGTTAATTCGATCCCAAACCAGTTGTTAGAAACTATATTACCAATATAATATACACTCATGATATGTCATGTACTTGTGAACTATGACCATTGTCTTACTAGCTGATCTATGAGTGTACGGTGCACCCAGGTCACCAATCCCCTTGTTTATCAGATGTTTAGGTGCAGTAACTT